TTCTATAAGAGATTTTCAATTTTACGTAATGTGATCAAATTTGTGCCCTCTTAGACATTCAAAAAGTCAAAAAACGATTTTTTAACAAAATATTGSCCGATTTCTAGAAATTTTTTTGTCGTAGGACATTTTAACGGGTAAAAAATGAAATGTTTTTCTCTGAAACCGTGGATTTCCAGGACGATTTTTCATAGAATACAATCAATTATGGTCTTATCGAGTTTTTTCAGCTTTTGTATGTTAAAAAAGTTTTATTTTGACCCAATTTCTTGTATACTGTTTTAATGAATAAAAAAAATGAAAATTACCAATTTATTTTTTTTTCGGAAACTCCTTGTTCAAAGTGAAATAAATCGAATTAAGGTACTTTTCAATTCTTTGGCATTGATTTATTGATTGCAATCGTAAATTCAATTAACTGAACACTAAATGTTTCCCAAATCGCAATCCCGACTTAGATTTAATGCGGTCTGGACCTTGAATCAGGTTCTAAGCAAAACCTCAATAAATCTAATCATTATTAACTTCCGAGGAAAACAAAAAGTTATAATTTATTATCACACAAGTTGTTAATATCGAGCACCTAAGTCTTGCAAAGGACACACTTTTTTTTATAAATTAATTAGGAGACTCCCGTAATGATCTTTTCTACTTTACGTTTTCACTCATGGCATTACCTTTTCCCTTTTCTCCCGTCCTGTGTGATTGATGATAATTGAAATGGAGTCTTGGACGGCATAATCAGAAAAATGCTTTCAAATGTGGTCAGGATTTTTCAGTCATCCACTTGATCGATTATCTCACTAGTGAGAGTTTGAATAAAAATCTTGTGAACAATACGATTTTTTTTCAGAGTCTGGTTATGATTAGGTGCTTTCTGGTTTCAGCCAAGTGAAATAGTGGCTGTAATTAATTTGAAATATGAGACTTGGGTGGCTACTGTCTGTAATATTGGTCTCACTATAACATTTTTAATTAACTTTCTCTGTGAAAAAGGATGAGTTAATATTACGACATTTTTTTAAATGTTACAGGAATTTGCAACGCTCACGAAGGAACTCAATGCAGCGCGAGAACAGCTCCTGGAAAGAGAGGAAGAAATATCGGAACTTAAAGCGGAACGAAATAATACTAGGGTGAGTGTGCAATGAAATAATCAAAATTTTACGATTCTTACTACTTACAAGTTTAATATACAGGTATTCCGTTTTTATTGTTACAAATTTAAACAGGTGATAGGATATTCAATTCTAAGACAAAAGTTTCCTATAAACATGTATCGAAAAATGCCTGGTAAGGGAGCTACACCCCCTGAAAGGGGGCTAATATGTTTTTGCTAATATTTCAGAAKCCATTTAAGATAAAATTGCAAAATTTGGTACAGATGATAACCTTTATACACCTAAACGAATTCAAACATCAAATGTCGAAATTTTTAATCAGGGGCGTACGAAAGTGGGGGAGTTTAAGGTAAAAAAATACCCTATTTATTTTGGCTTTAGTTTCTCGGTACTTTCAGCAACAAAATCTTAAATTCGATAGTTTATCACAGGAAAGTCTCT